GAGCTCTCTACTTGGCAGGCTTGCTCTTCCGTGCCAGATACCTCTCACGGGCACTTCCGACCTGGCTGGAGTTGAATCCCAGTCTTCTGCTAGCGTCGGCACGTGCCTTCACCTCGCGCTCCTTGGCAATCTGAGCCGCATCCTGGAAGCTAGAGCTAAGATGGCGGGCTACGAAACTTAGCCCGACAGCTGCAATCAAAGGCTGGAAGTCCTTGGGCGCATCTGCCTGTCAAAGCACTTCTCGCAAAATGTCGCCAGGTCGCATTGTTCTGTTTACAGGCTGCCCGCCTTCTCCTGCCTGGAAGTCTTCTTTTCGATGCCCACCTGTGGTCAAGCTTGGGAGTATGCGGAGAGCACCGTCACAGTGTCCTTCGATGTCCTTCGCTTCTGAGGGTCTCGGCCAATCGCTTCAGGTCCACCTCGACGAGCTTTGGCAGCAAGGGCCTCCGCCACAAGTTTGCTACGGGTACTGCCTGCGTGTCGAAACGGACACGCTCGGGCCAGGACTGCAACCACTTGTGAGCCACAGCTGACACGGTACCTCAAACCGAAGAAGCAAAGTACAAAAAAAGACTTTCAAAGCACTGAAGGACAGGTAAGAGTCGAGCGCATCATGCAGTTGGCAACCGTGCTTCCGACCAGGTCAGTGTACAGCACCCACCTAAGCGGAATCAACTCGTCTTCGATGCGGTGCGAGGGACAAGTCATCCTAGAGATGTGGCGGTATCTGGCACACTGCTATCCGGTAGGCAAGGCGAGTCCCACAAGCGGAACACCAGCACGATATTTTCGTTTTTAACGAGTTGCCGATGAAGCCAACTGAGAAAAGGCGAAGTACCCAGGTTTCCCAATAGTTAGAGGAGAATCGAGAACTACGGCACAAAGAGCTAATCTGCGAGGCTGGACCCGATTGTAAAACCTGAAGTGTAAAGCTTTCGTCTCCATAGTTTCGATACTATTCTTCATCTTCACGAGAGAAGTCGGCCAAAGAATGTTAAGATAAGCAGGCGGAAATTGTTCTTGGCAAATGCGAATAGGACGCTAGAAGCAGACACAACGGACCTTCTCTGGCCGCTTGTGGAATCCGTTTTCCTCCCTATCCATGGCCGTTTTGTTGGAGGGGTTCGTGATGTTGGTTTGCTTAGCTTTGGGAATCAGCTCCAGTTTTGCAGAGAGAGAGAGAGAGAACAAAAACAACTATTGCAGAGAGAGGCAAACAGTAATTACTTCGACCCTTCGCAGCATGGCAGAGACAGAAACTGCGAGCACTGCAGAGCTTCGGAGGGATTCGGAAAGATTTGCTTATATATAAGCCACGGGACTCCGAAAGTGCAGATTTAGAGTACCTCAGAAACCACGCCTCCTCAAAACATTTCCTTGATCCGACAGCCAAGAATCAACCCATCCTGATGGAGTAACAACAAAAGCCGTTCTTCCGAACTATAAACCCCCTCAATTATAAACTCCTCCCAGGGGGGCCTTCTGGTGCTGCCTGCAAAAGCCAGGAAAAGGAAAGAAAGCTTTAGAAGCCAAGCTCTTCATTGGAAAAGCTTTGGATTCAAAAGGACAGCAAGCTTTTGAAGCCAAGCCCTTGATTGGAAAAGTTTTGGATTCGAACGGACAGCAAGCTTTAGAAGAAGAGCTGCTGAAGGCGGGCAAGCAACAAAGAGCAACAGAAGAAGCTCGGCCCAAGGAACAAGAGCCCCTGTACTACTACTGTACAAGTATTGTACTACTACTGTACTACTGTTGTACCACTATTATACTACTGCACTACTGCTGTACTACTACTGTACTACTACTGTACCACTACCGTACTGCTACTGTACTGCTGCATTACTACAGTACTGCGATTGTACTGCTACTGTACTCTTGTACTAATGCGGTACTACTGTACTACTGTACTACTACTGTAATACTGTACTNNCCCCCCCCCCCCCCCCCCCCGCTCAATGATCAATCCGCCCCTGGCCCCGAAATCAATCGGGCGGTCATTAGTATGAGGTTGACATTACGGTCGCTTCCACGAAAGGAACACATACTGGTCTGCTGCTATGAACCAACAAAAGCTGCAGTGATGTTTAGACTCAACCACCTACCTACAGCTCGGTGTCGGGCTCTGCACAAGAACCATCCATGGCGCTGCCAGCTTCGCATTTTACCAGCACGTTCTCACCTGCCCGACAACATGCGATTTGATCTCTCACCAGGACATCCAACACAAGACTTCTGCACCGCACCTACGATCAACCATCCTCCTCCAGCTCCACACATCCGAGCCGTTTGCATGAAGAAGCCCGAACCTAATGCGTGCAGATGACAGCTGCTTCCAGACAAAATCTTACGACTGACAAGCTGAGGATGCAGCATAAGGACTCGAGCAAAGCCTGGAAACCAAAAGGCCCGCACTACATTACAAAAATGAACATGCAGACATGCCTGTTCGACGCTGCTGCCATTCTTGGGCCCACCTGCAGACTCCGCAAGCGGTGCGAAGCGGCGACCGCCTTTGCCTGGCCTCGTCCTCGATCACGGTCTCTGTGGTCTCTGTAGCGATTGCGGACTGCACGAACTGCATCCCGCACAGACGCCTCGAACAGATTGATCCCTTCGCGAACAAGAGCCCTTAAGCGAAGAAGTCCACACAAAAAGACGTGGAAATGACGACCTATCGACTCTGACAGGCAGCCGCTTGAAACCGGCAACGAAGAAACTTGCGAGTACCTTCTCGTACTGTTTGCCAAAGATTCAACATGCAACCAACAATGGGTTCGATCGCTAGATGCGGCAGTCTACGAATCCACAATAGCTGGTCAGGCTGCAAGAAACACGCAAACTACGGTATTGACCAGCCGGAGTGACCTCATGCCGTATCCGACACATCCGATACCCCTTCCCATGACCGGGCGGAGCTTTCTGTGCTGCCTGAAAGTTCGGTCGGTCGGATCATACTCTGGGCGGGGCGGGGCGGAGAGTGGACAAGCAAGGATCGGCACACCGAACGATGCCAGACAACACTATGAGTTTACTGCTGCATGCGCTTACGGATGCGGGGTAGCTTGATGAGATGAGCTCGAAAGAAGCGGCTTCTGGATGGCAGGAATAGCTAGGGTGCTCCCACAACCGCCCATCATTGAACCAAGTGTCAGGAGAGAACAGAGATTAAATTACCTTTGAAGGCAAGGCCTTGCCTCCGAGACCTTCTCCAGCTGGTCGCACAACTGCCCGCGGATGTCACGGGCCTGGCGTAACGCCCTGAAGTGCAGAAAGTTGGCTTTGCACCACTCTGGGGTGCAACCTTCATCTTCCCACATGGTGAAAACCCGAACCAAGGTGAGGTGATCACCAAGATGGTGGAGAAATCGTTCCTGTGTCGCTCGAGCTTCCTCCCACTGATCCGAATTGTGCTTGGATGGCCGATACCACACGCCCTCGGAACTCAACATCGACACCAGCGTGAGGGCCTCGGAGACGCAGCCACTCTCCGCAGCCGCTAGCAGCACACGGCCATACTGAGGCTCAAGAGGCAGCTGCGACATTCTCCGCCCCAAGTCTGTGAGGACACCATCCTCGTCAAGGGCTCCGATGAGAAAGAGTAGTCTCAAGGACTTCACCAAGCGAACGCGATCTGGTGGTTCCATGAAGTCAAACTGGACCACATCATCAATTCCCATAGCCTTCATCTGCAAGGTCACAGATGCAAGATTCGACCTCAGGATTTCAGGGACTGTGACCTTCGGCAGGCTGCGATTAAAGGTTTCCTCCGAGTACAGCCTGAAACACTTGCCGTGCTGTGTCCGGCCCGCTCTGCCAGCCCGCTGTTTGGCCTGGACCTGTGAGACTTCGGTAACTTGTAGAGACTCCATTCCAGTCTTGGGATTGAAGTTCTTTTGCTTGCAATATCCGCAGTCAACGACGTAGCCCACTCCCGCCACTGTCAGGGACGTTTCGGCAATGTTCGTCGAGAAGACAAGTTTACGGCATCCCTCTGGAACCTCTTCAAACACGTTCCGCTGGTCGTCGGATTGCATCATTCCGTAAAGTGGTACGATGAGACAGTCGGCAACCTGCTTTCCGCTTTCAACCATGCTTTGCAGTTTCGAGTTTGCCAAGCCCACTGCCTGCTCGCATTCCTCCATTCCTGTGAGAAACACCAGGATGTGGCCGGGTCCCTCACGGACGTGCAGATTCAGTGCAACGTTTACCGCGGCTTCCACCCGCTGGGTCTTGGACACCGGGTGGTAGTGCAAAGCAACCGAGAAACTGCGCCCAGGGACTTCCAGCACGGGGCATGAAAAGTACTCTGAGAACGCCCCGGTGTCGAGAGTTGCGGATGTCACCAGCATTCTGAGCTGACCAGCCCTGTTGCTCACAGCTCTCTTCATTAGAGCGAAGAGCACGTCAGTGTGCAAGCTTCGCTCATGTGCCTCATCCAAGATGACAACATCATAGTTGGCAAGATCGGGATCACCGAGGCACTCACGGAGCAGACAGCCGTCGGTCATATACCTCAGACGTGTACTCGCGCTTGACTTGTCTTCAAAGCGGATGCAGTAGCCCACCACATCTCCGAGTCGTGTACCACGCTCGTCCGACACGCGTCGGGCCATGGCTACGGCCGCAACCCGCCTTGGCTGGGTGATGCAAACGCGAAGTCCGCGCTTGTTCTCGAAGAGGCAATGAAACTTCTCGGAGTCCAAGAGGTATTGCGGGATCTGCGTCGTTTTGCCAGATCCAGTCTCCCCCACCACTACTATTGTCGGATGCTCCAGTAGGAGATCAATAATCTTCTCCTTGTAGGCAGCCACAGGGAGATCGTCGGGGGCCTTGGCTCGAGGTGTGCCCCGCGTTTTGGGGACATCATCTTTCGTTTCCGTGTCTTTTTCCGATTGCTTCTCCTGTGGTGGTGATTTCCCACGCGACCACTGCGACGATCTGGACCTTGATCGAGACCGCTGTGATTTTCCATTCGCGTCATCCTTCTTCACAGGAGGCGCCATTGGATCTGCTGCCGGCCGTTGCAGCCGGAATTATTCATCTGCACGCAGGGTACATGGAAAGTGCGGCTGTTCTCTTCGTTGGGGTTGTTGCTTTGATCGGACTTTTTACCCACTAGTCCTTCGACTTACAAATTAATGCTGTTTCGGCACCAGGGTCGGTAAGGCTGTCAAGAGAACACAATACGATTAGGTGAAAAGCAATTGGAAAGCAAGAAAATGGGAAAACCAGAAAAGGCAGCGCTGCCCGGTGAATTCAAATCTCGAAGTGGGGTGGCGGATGGCAAACCCCAGCCAGTACTACAAGCTGCTTCTGCTTTACGGGAGCTCACACATGGCAAGACGACGAGATGCGAATAAGGTGATGGATGACGAAATCCTAGCTTTAGCAACGAGCTGCACATGCTGAAAACCTGACAGGAGCAACGGCTAGCCTTGGAGCCGAAGCCTGAATCAGAAGTGACGGTAGCAAACCATCAAAGCTGAGGGGGAGTGGTAAAAGAGAAACACGAGAAGCCGTTGTGTTGCCTGTTGACTGCACCTCTAAGCTTGTTTGCATCAGCTACAAAAAAGCCCAAGTACGTTTGGTTGCATCCGTAGCATGACCGGAAAGTGGTCGGCACAGGCTCATTCAAGACTTGCTTCACTGACCCTGCTGGTCTTTGGTCGCACTCGACTGTACTGCTAGCAGAAGTGAGTCGCTGCTTCCGGCACCTTGTCCCAAGAAAGTGTTGAAAAGTCTGATGCAATCATCGTTGCATATCTCTGCTGGCCACTAGCAGCTATGGCTGCAGCAGGAGGCTCGCGTTCTCAATCGTGCACTGAATGCGAAGACTCTTCATGCCGCACACCACTTGTCAGAGGTCTTTTTGATCTCAGCATCTACGACGAAGAGTCAGACTCTGTTTTCCCTCACCTTGGACGACAAGCAAGACCTTCTTGCATGGAAAGTCTGTCACGAAGCATTCGTTATTGTAGCCATGCGGCTCATCATCACCGCCAGACTCCAGGGGCAGCGCGTCACCCTTTGAAAGGATCCAAAGTATGGATCGTCGACCTGGGATGACCCCTTTTGTAGCAATACCGTGCATCCCAAAAGCCGCGCTGACCGAGTCCAGGGCCGTTTCGGCTGAAAAATTCGATTCGCACCTCTTTGCCTTCCGGTGCATTGATGACCTGGATGGCTGCTGTCGCAAGCTTTGTTCGCTCCCTAGGGACGGCCGTCACTTCTCTTGAAATTCATGCTACGAAATCAAGGTTCCCACCCACTTGTTCTTGAGATTCTCTTGCGGCCCGATGATCTTGGCGCCCTGTGCACACATGTACACACGAAAATGTCTGGACTAAGCACTCCCCCTGGCCTTCCGAGTGCACTCGTCAACGTCAGGACCTCGTGGAAGCGATCGGAACTCCGAATGCTCTCTCCGTTTGCTTTGGTTAGGGCTGGTGCCAACAATCTGCTTGGCGTTTCCACCCTTGAGAAGGTGAAAGTGCAACTCCCCACCGGCTGGTACCTGCAGCTCAAAGGTTCCCTTGTTCATCCCCAATGCGGACGCCCAAGGACGTGTTCTTGTGGCCTGCAAGGTGATGCGATGAACTCCAGGTACTTCGCCATCTTCCATGGGGATGGCCTGCAAAGCAAAAAAGTTCGCGATGGCATGTCAGGACTGCTACACCCAATTGACTTCCTTCGCCAAGATGACTGCTGTGGATCAACTTCGCGCCTCTTCGTCATCCCAGTTGTTGAAATTTCCCGTGATTGCCTTGGCCACGAGGTCCAGCAGCCCCAAGAAACCAATCCGAGACAAGAAGCCTAACGTTTTTCTCCTTCACTACCCATTGAGTCTCGTTGAAGCCGCCCTGCCGGCTGTAGCAGTCATTGCAGCTCTCCAGCTGTTCGGGACGCTTTCCTCGATCGGGTCTCTCTTAGCGCCTCACAAAAGTAGCCTCCATGTCGTCTACTTCGATTTCTCGGCTTTCGTCCACTACGTCCCACCTGCCGTCACCGCAGGTATCCCTGAATGCTGCATCAAGACAAGCAAGTGTCGCCTCAAGGGTTCGTTTCCCTCGTCTGGGCCCATGCTGAGGCTGAACCTTGTGAAAAACTGGACTGCTGAGACAGCAGAGTGAAATGGCTGAGCTGGGATACACTCGGGACTCAGTTCAAGACTTGGCCCCTTTTCGAACCATTCGCGTGTCTGGGAAATCGGCTTCCCATTTGTCGAAGTCAAGGCCTTTGGTCATGAGACGGCTTGTTCTCAATATTGAAGAACCGTCCGTACACGAGTGGCACACCCATCGGTCGGACTTCAGGGGGCGGTCTTGACAGCAGCTTTTTCATCCAAACTTTCTCCACATCCTGGACATGCAAAAGTCTTCTGTGAACTCCATGCCAGCATGCCGATGAATCATATCAATCAACAGGCATCTGACAGACATGAGTCAGTTTGAGACGAAGACAGCTTGCAACAGTCTTGCGATGCGCCATGCGTTTCTGTCTGTGTGTACCAACTCGTGAACAATGGTGGCTGTCCTCCTTAATGCTGACATTCATGCCCCAGAAGACACCGTGCGCATTGGTGCCACCTGGCAGTTTGGATTAGACATCAAACCACCAAGGCACCACTTGCGGGCTAATGACATGTCAGCGGCACCAAATCCGAAGGAGGAAACTTGGGAGTTGCCCTGATTCGTGGCCTCGGTTCGAGTCACTCCGAGGAGTGCAGACTGCAGCTGGGCTTCTTTTCACCAGAACGGCAGTCCCCAAAAGCACCTAAGCCTAATCTTCGCCTTTCCGGCCTTTGCGTCTTGGGAGCCTAGCCCGGCAGATGCATCAGGAGCAAAACAGGCCCGCACATAGCAGACATAGTACTTTATTGCTAAGTGGTATTGTAATGTATTCTACGTCTGCGTATTTTACGTATCAGGGCCCTGCACTGCTTCTTGCAACTATGTATTTTCGAAATGGTCCCGAAGACTTACGCACACATCTGCACCTGGCCAAGCTAGGAGTTAGTACTTGGCGGCTAGAAGTTCATACAACATTGGCGCACGGCTCGTTGTCGCCCCTGGTATTTCTTGCACAGTCCAAACTTTTCTGTGTCCCAGGTACAGGCCGGTAGCGGGAATTACAAAATGATGAACCGTCTCAAAGACTCAAAGCAGCCTTCCGGAATTTCCAGCGGTACCCGGAGCCATCCCTTTCAGGTTTTGCAACGGCTCGAGATTCTATTGCTCAGCAGCTCCGCTGTAGCGCGCGGCAGCGTTCACCCTCGAGACCGAATTCGTTGCAAACATTACCAGGTTTGCCTCATTTCTATCTTCGAAATCATCGCAATGTTCAAAGTCCTAGCAGGGCCACACTGTCAGTGTTCCAGACACACCTCCACGTGTCGTTCAGCACCGCCTTGTTGTCGCTTGATGCGCAGCCTCGAACCCGAAGCCGTTGAAAGCGCTGCAGTCCTGTGCTGTGTGTGTGTGTTTGAAAAGGGTTGCGCCCCGAGTGTGTTTGCATTCGAGCCATTGTCACATTTGTGCGGTAGCGGAGCCGGGCTGAAAACCAGGGACCTTGGCTGTGGGTTACCCGAGTGCGATTCTGGAGTACTTGAACGCACTTCGGGCGGAAGTGGGCGCCCTTGTCAAGGGTGCCCAACGGCAAGTTGACTGGTGCGTGGGTCGCGGCTTGAGCCGCACAAGGACTCTGATCGGCGGGAATAGGAACCCCGCTAGAAAGAGCTCGCAACCGGCGAGGCGAGGTCGTCACTCGCGGGAGTGTCCTGGCACTGGAGGGTGATCGTCCAACGCCCGAAATGGGTAAAGTGGCCAGCAAGAGTTTTTCGTGAACGGCGACCGCGGCGATTTTTGGGGATGGCTGGTCCGAAGATGAGAAGTGGCAGGGCCCAGATGCTGAAGTCGGTTCTCGATGGAACCAGGGCGGCACTCACTGACAAGGACCATCAGGCTGCTTGGGTTGGTGATGATCAAGCAAATGAGAACAGGAGTTGAGTTGGAAGACAGGACAGTCGGCTGCTACGAGCTGGGAGAAAGTTCGTTGAGAGCAGCCGGCGAGAACTGGAGCTGGAAGACTCGGAGCGATGCCAGCTCCCAGGCATCCTGCGGGGATGGCGCATGTGACGTGAACTATGTCAGGGACGAGCCGGACCTTCGGGGAGCGCGAAGGGCGAGGAGGACCGCAAGGGCAACGTGAAGGTTGCTGGTTTGGATGATCGGCAAGATCAGCGACTCATATCCTCCGGCATGTCGTGCTAAGCCTCAGGAGTCTTACGTCGAGTGCAAGAGGAGTGTTCAGTTTTGGGTCGGCTGGCCAGCTGCCGGCTGAGTTCATCGGCCCGAGGATGATGGTTCCGCTGAAGGACAGGGCCGCCAAGTTGGTGAAGCATTGGCCTCTGATGATGTGAACAGGAGGATCTTCGAGGTGATGGAGGCCTCTCCTCTGGTAAAGCAAGTGGAGAGGCACAGGATCCACGAGCACCGGCGCAAGCTGACGCAGCTCAACAGGGCTGAGGGTGAGTCGATGGAGTCTTACACTACGAGGGCCGGGGGTGTAACGCGGTTGATCACGTCTCTTAAATCCGCCATTCAGTTCAAGGCTTCAATAATCGGGAAGAGTTAAGAGTTGATGACGCGGGTCACGGAATGGCGGTCGATCGCACTTCGTGAACCGTCCCCCTCTCAGGCGAAGGCGGTCGATCACATCTCTTGGACCACCTCCTCAGGCGATGGCGGTTGATGACTGATGACATGTTTTGAGTTTGGTGATGGCGGTTAATCACCCGCCCCCTCACTAGTCGACGGCAGTTGATCGCATTTCTTTCACCGCCCCCTCATTAGACGATGAGTTGATCACATTTCTTAGACCCACCTCCTCGTAAAGCATGGCCGTTGATCACATCTCTGAAACTTTTAAACCCGACCATCGACGGGATGAGAGGTTTCTTGGGGGCTTAGCTTCTCTCCACGAACAAACGCAATTCTCGAATAAC